CAAAAGTACAATAAAAATATAACTGATTTCATAATTATAATATTTTGTTAAAGGGATAAATTTCTAATGTCATTCTGTTTTACGGAGCACTTTTACGGAGGTTTGCGAGTAATTAATTTAAAGTAATATTTAAAATACAATGTAATTTCTATTTTCTTCCGTTTGGTTTAATACCTAGAATAAATCAGTGAATGATTTATTAATATTATACTTTTCCTTCACATTTATGACCACACTCAATAAAACAACTTTAAAACTTGACTAGTTTAACATGATATGCATAATGTTGTTTATCTATTTATAGACACATTACAATGCAACATTGAAGGTAAAATCTTATTTAATTACTGTGGTAAAGCACCGAACTCGTTTTCAATGGAGGAAAAGCCTTCGAGTGACATTTAATTTTGTCATAATATTAATAATTTCCGAGTTTAATAATACCTCCTATAAATATAAACAGGTCTCTTAAATAATTCAATATCAATTTTAATCGCAGCTTTTTAAACTTTTCAGATAATAATAATAGTGTTCGCTGTTTTGGGAGAATTAGCTTAATGCCACATTAACCATACAAATTTTCAAATTTAGAATATTCATTATATGTAACATTATTTTTCATTAAACGTTAATGGGCGTTTGTGCAACTGACCGTGTATTAAATGGATTATAGCGATGAATATCGCGATAGGGATGCTGACTATTTTTTTTTATCTGTCAGGTATATTATTGAAGAATATTAAACACACATCACATCACATCACCAGCCCTTTTACGTCCCCACTGCAGGGGCTCAGGCCTTCCTTATGGATGGTTAAGGAGGATGACCCTCCATGCTGGCCCAATGCGGATTGGAGGGTATTAACGACTGCAAATGCAGCCGGGATCAACGGCTTAACGTGCCTTCCGAAGCACGGAGTAGCTCGAGATATTAATATTTTTGGTCACCCATCCCGTGACCGACCCTTGCGAAAGTTGCTTAAGAAAGAAAGAAAGAAAGAAAGAAAGAAAAATCATTTATTAAACACACACACATGCAATTTTGCAAAAGACATTAATAAATTATTATTAACTTATAGAGTGCATCCGATGTGGTGTCTAAAAGGTGCCAACTCGACATGTGCTGCAGTTAACTGCAGCGTCGCTTTTCAGTTGGCCCCCTTAGGTGGTGTGGTGACGCCCCGCTGGGCCAAAACAAAATAAAAAGAAAACAAAAACAGTGCTAATCATAAGTACCCTAACAACTACGATCGCGGGCCGCGGCGCTTATCCACTACGCCACCGAGCTACTTACTTTACACTTACTTTTTATTTTATTTTCTTGCATATACAATTAATTACGGCGATAAATTGAGCTGAAATTCCACATGATGTCACACCTTTGTACATTTTCTACATAGTTGTGACGTAGCGAGCCCTTTTCAACTTTAATGCCTATTAATTTATACCATTTCTTATTAAATTGAAACAAATATTTATACTTATCTAATATTTTCCTAATATCTGTCTGCCGGACTTACTTTTGAACTGCTATCGAAGTCGGGCTGTTATCATTAATTACAGTACAGGGGGCCAATTCTACTAAATAAATTTTGTTTAAATCGAATCGAAAGCGGATCGAAACTACAGTTTTTAATGGTTTTTCTATTCTACTAAGTGACATACGATACAATTTCAGCTAAAATAGAACTGGAATTGTATCGTATGTCACTTTGTAGAATAGGAAAACCATTAAAAACTGTAGTTTCGTTCGGTTTCGATCCGTTTTCGATTCGATTTAAACAAAATTTATTTAGTAGAATTGGCCCTCGGAAATTCTCCAGTTGCTTTTTAAAAATTTAATAGGTTTTAAGCTAAGTTTTATTTCTTGTTTTTTTTTTTCAAAGATCGTATTCGTTTTGTTTTAAAAAAAAAATAACACGATTTCGTAAACAGTATCATCACACAAAAATACATTTTTGCAATAAAACATTTATTGCAAAAATGTATTTTTGTGTGTACAATTGTACATATCTTGAAGTAAGTTTTATTCATATTCTGTATCAACAACATCCTTAATTCATATTATATTAACATGTACTTTTACCAGACATTAAGTTCCCTACGAATGAAAAATTAACGATAAGTTCAGACAGAATTGAAGGCCAATTTTCATGGTCATTTTATTACAATAAAATACTTCATAATAAAAACACATCGGCTATAATTGTTTTGTTTATTATTGCGTCTCTTTGTTTTTGAACATATAAAAAAGAAGTTTCTTAATAAGACTGGTTTAAAACTTTGTTATTATGTTTTTTTTATATACCTATAGAAACTACAAGTCACGACTACGAATACAAGTTTTTGATATACGCAGGAGTTAGCATATCTATATTTATTAGTTATCGTTATGAAGGATATTTAAAAATCATTTTTCTATAAAAGGTCTCTCTACTGAAACACAGGTGTTCCCGATAGGATAGAATACGAAAGGAAGACAGGCCCAGTGAGGATTAAAGATTTAACGTGCCTTTTGAAGCACGGAAGAGCTAGATATAATAATTTTTAGTCCTCATCCTAAGACCCGTATTTGTGTAAGTTGCATATATTCCTCATCGCAAATCACTGCGCCATAGAGGTCTTATTTTTAACTAGGATTTTTAAATAATTAGCCATGTACTAATGTAAAAAAAAAATGTACTTTAGTAAGTTATAAACTATCACCAAATTGAAATTCATCATCATCACACAAGCAGTTAGACTGTAAAAGCGTAACGAATAGACATAAAAAGGAGTTTTGTTCTTATAATGTTTTCTTCTTTTTTTATTATTATTGATGTTCAATTAAGTTAGTTTTGTACATTCAATCATGTGCAATCCTGCCATAGAATTGGCTACGTATAAATTTTACTTTACCTTATATACATTACGTTATTTACAAAATGGTGTTACCATATCTAATTACTTATTGAAACATCTGTCTGAGACTCTGAGCACGTCACGGCATTAGATCAATTAAAAAAACATTAACTGCATTCTTCACGAGTAAATCGATTATAATATAAATCGATAACGAAAGTACCTAATCGATTATCTGAAATAAAACTGTTTAGAAACAGTAGACAAACCTTATTTCAAAACGACTTCTCTTCCTAAGGTGTTGAAATAGTTCTTACTCTGTCATATTGGCAAAACCTTCATGTTCTATTTTCGTATTATTGTTACCAATAAAAAAAAAGTAACAAACCGTTCCAAATTATTGCGATCCAAATTTTCAGTAACCTTCACAGCTGTTCTGAATTCAAAAGTGACATGCCACACAATCAGATGTTTTGTGTTTACGCGGGGAAAATGTCGATTTCCGTCGCCAGACAGCGGGGAACGTTCTATTTTCAAACACGCGCAAATACTTCGGTCAAAACAGTTGAGTGTCAATAGAGTTCAGTATGTGGAAGTATATTAGGTCCATTTCACACGCGAACAGAATTAGCAGTGCTCCCAACCAAAATTCCACATTTGATAATGTTACATACGCGACCGCTTGCTTCGCTAGCGGAGTCCACACTAAATTCAACATCTCAATGACTGTATTCTTGGCACTTGTTTATGTTGATGTTCAATTAATTACACTTGTTTGTCTATCGCTCGGATTGGTTTAATGAAAATGGAAAATTTAGGACGATGATATTTCACACAAACTTCTGTTTTAATACTTTGAAACTTAATTTGCGAAAACTCGAACGTTGTGTCAATGTTACTTTTTATTCATTATTAAAAGAGCACTTTTCTTCACACTTTTATTCACTTTTTGATCCTTAACACACGTCCGAAGTGTATACCATCACACGGTTTTATGGCAAATATAATCATTAAAAAAATGTTGACCGACCTAATGGACCACTTTTCCTTTGCCACTTTTAAAAACAAACATCCATTTGTCACTTTCTAGACTTTCGCGAACTTAAGGACTCCCCTCTTGATCGCTAAAAAGTAAATAAACGAGAAACGCAACACATTTTTCATAATTTGTTGTTTATGCTGCGGTCAGCTCTACAGTACTGAATCAATGCGGTCGAAATGCTATTGATTCTAAATTTAAAATCGGTCTCAAGGCATTCCACGTGTCATGCGAATATTGTTCTATTTTTAAATCGAATAAAATTTGCTGTTTTCATTGGCAGATTTGTAACCGCTTACGACTAGGAAGCATATTTAAAAGATTCAATTAATAAGGAAAACCCCGATAACATAGTTCTATTTTTATATGTAAGCAGTAAATAATTTGATTGATCAATACACAAAAGTACCCTATACCTATACTATAGATCAGTGTATGTAAAAATAAATTAAATTGAAATTATTTTTAAGAACGCGTAGACTATGTATTTATTTTAATTTATCAGGGAACTAATTTAATTAAAGTGTTTTATTCATAAAATTTAAATAAGTCATACAATCAATCAAATAAGTTGGACGTAAGTAATTCATCAAAAAAGAATAAAGTTTATTTACGTCATTATCTTCAGAATGTTATCTTCTCGTTCTCGCTTCATGGTTTTAGGTTAATCAAATTTCCTTCTCATTGTTATCGTATAATTAAACATGATCTAAGTAACTAAGGGTTAAGTAACTAATGTTTAGTGTTACAAACGATAAAAACTGATATAACACTCCCTTTACTGTCTGTCGAGATAAATCGCAACTTAATAACTTTACCTTTAAACTCGGGGGTAACAAATCGATCTACATAGGTTTTACTTTTAGAAAACCAAAAAGAAAAAAGCCATCCAAGTATTACTCATATTGTAATTAAAAAATATTTACAATTTACAATCTTTATGGACAGTCACTGCACTGTAGTACTATTCTATTTATAACAATAAGGTTTTATTTCGACGAAGCTCTATCATAGCATCGCATGAACCGACAAGTATGAGGCTGCTTTTTAATAGAATAACATAGCAGAACCCCGGATCTATCCCACCAATCACGTTAGTGCAATTTACCTCATTCGCCTATCACCGCCTCTTTGGCAGTCCTACTGGCTCTACATCCAATACAGTGCCTCCTACAGTGGACCTCACGATCTATAAACCGTCGTAAGGGCTTATAATGCCTTTGATATTACTCAAGCATTGTAATCTATGAAGCCGCAGTCCTATTACCTCTATTTCTAGACGTTGAAATGGATCTCGCATTCTCATAAATGTTTGTAACATGTAGGATATCACTCGCGTGATAATGCGTCTGTAGCCGCAATCTTACAAAACCAGACAAATGATTTAACTGTGAATTATAGATTTTGTAAAATGAAAGTTCAGGATTCAAACGCCTTACAATATTTAATTTATGTCAGGAAAGGAACTTAATCTAAATTACAAATCATTTTGTCTGTATGAAGTCCGTTTCTTCAAAATCAAGGCACCTATAAAACTGAATTCTACTTGTTTCAAGTCAAAAAAGTGTTTATTTTTTCAAGTTCGCTATGAAACTGACATCAAATGATGCTATAAATACGGCGATTTCGGATATACTAATATTATAAAAAAGAAGTTTCTAACTTTGTTTGTTTGTTTGTAGGGAGTAATCTTCGAAAATACTAATCTGGTCGTAATAATTCTTTCACCTACGGGAAGCAACATCACACGCGGTGATAAATTACATATAGTAATTACCTAGGCTATAAATTACACGGACTAAGTGACGGTAAACAGCTAGTATTGGATATATTCTTTGATTATGATAAATTTTTCCTTTGAACTCCCAATGAGAGCGCAATCTATTTTTTATACGCCCAGTTCACTGCATTGAACCTGCGCCCTCCCCAAAGGATTGATTGTGTTATAAAATTGTAACTCAGTAGATTAACTTGAAATATTATTATATCTGACAATCTTAATATATTAATTATTGATTCATTCTTGATCTCAATTCAACCTTCCCGAGAGGAGCCTATTTACTCTCGCTTTAAATTGATCTGTATGTTCTCAAGAGTAAAGACGCCGGTAGCCAATTGCCAATTATACTCCTTGGCAATGAGTAGAATAAAGCCTCTAAAAATTAGACGGATAACTCTACGCCGTCAAGCTGTAAAGCTTTGATTCCATCATGATAAATTTACGTATTATAGTTAAACTAACATAATTTAATTTAAACATTTACGCAATATTTATCTCATTACCATGTAAGAAGGTGTGTCTCGTGACGAAAGACATTGATTTATGATGTTTACAAAATTAGTTTTATCAACAAAATAATATTTTGTGACAAAACTAATTTGTTACACGTCCAGAGCGTTCTGCAAACGTAATATTTTTGTAGTCTCACCTCAAAACAAGGCTACAATATATATTTTTATTTAAGGATTGTTTTTTATTTTACTAAAAGACCATAAACATAATTATGTCGTTATATTTTAAGAATATCTATTATATTTTATGACACTTAGTTTAATAGTTTTAATTCATAGCCGGGAATCCACGGAGCACAAAGCAGCTTATCCACGGCAGATCAATAATGACTGATCTAGAAATATGAAAGAAATTTACCAAAATCCTAAAGAAACATATTTTAAAAATACGATCAAAGAAAGGCTACCTATTTATTACACAAAAACGGTCGTATATTTTCCAACATGTTTTTTTATACAATAAAACACATTAACGTTTGCATTTGAAATTTTAATATTTGAGTTGATTTTATTATTGTAATTCCGTGCACATATTCGTAGTGTTAAAGAATCTATGGATTCCTATGGGTATGCTTGAGGATACCCAGAGATCTTTTAAAAAAGGTTGGAAAACATTGCGCTAAGCGCATTCTTGAGTATCTCAATCAATGCAGTTGCCGCCCTGTTAGCATAATGGCAATAATGGTGGGTTCGAATCCCACTATTTTTTATAGGACTGTGAAAGGTGTAATAAAATATACCAGATATACTTATTCGATTATAGTGTTACCTCACGAACTGTGGAAGCCCTAAACAGGTAACAGTGGAGCAGACCCTCCTTCTCATTCAGTAGTATGTAGAACAGCTCCTCTGGAACACCTGGGACTTGGCAAGCCCTGGAACAACATAATAAAATACATTTAACATTAAAGCTGCCGTATTCGAGTAAAATAGCATAACATTACAGATATCAATATTTATTTTAAAAATATTATTTAATTTTTACTAAAGTAAACTTTTATTTAAGAACGCAATTAATAGTGATATTTCTGAAGTGCCATGAATCCCGGAATTATGACACCTTTCATGGAATTAATAGCTGATAGAATAAATAACGCATTTCGCAGATACCTACTGTATTTTTCTTTGGGTTCATAAAAGGTGATTTAAAAAAACTTATCTCTATAATCGACAAAAAGTAAAATAAAATCCAAGAAGACTGAATATATAAATATATAATTACGTAAGTTTTTCTTATGATGATATCATTTAAAATAAATATTTACATAGGTGTTAGAGTACGAATAAAGGTTATGAAGCAATGCGAACGAAAAGGCGATTCAATGAAATAGTTTCTAGAAATAAAACATCAAAATATGTACCTACCTATTATTAATTATAAGTTTATTAGACATTAAAAAAAAACATAAAAGTCTATTGAGGTATTCATATAAATGAACTATTATATATAAATTAAATATTAATAATCAACTATTTATATTTTAGATATTATTTTAATCTATGTTGACTATATTCATTCTACATCAACTTGATATATTTAAATTAATATTTATTTTTCATATTTTTTCAATTATAATTATACACTCATGAATAAAATCTTATAGCTACCGTAACTCACCCTCCTACACTCACACATTCATTAAAATTTTACTCAAAGGGGGCCACCGAATTCATTTATTTTAAGGTCATTTAATTTAATTTAATTTTATATATTGTTTTTTTTATGTATTATCTAATTGTTTTATCAAATTTCCAATTAATTTAACTACCATAATCTTTTAACAGTGATGATATAGACAATGCTGGGATGGCGCTGTTAGCCGAAATACAGTAATAAACTAGCTCGGCTACAAACGCTAATCTATTTATAAATTTCGTTAGCCATTGAATTATAATGTTTAATTTTAAGTATTTATTTTTAATTTACTTTCTTGTATTTTGGCTGTGTGTAAAAATTATTATTATTATTATTATTTTCGAAAATAATTTACTTGGCTTGTAAGTCTGAAGGGAAAGACGGTATCATATCGCACCTTAGATAAATAAAAATTCGCTAATTGTGCATACAACTAATTTATTAATTAATTACTCACAAACCAAGAAAACGTAGCATACTTATAATTCTTTCTTTATAAAAAGTAAAGGTGTGAGAAGAAATTAAAAAACAGTCAAAGTGCGAGACGGACTCGTGCACGAACGTTTCTGTATTATCTTTGAAAACGGCAAATTTTGGAATACATTTTATAAATAAACTATGATGTAACGTTTCTAATAATACCTACAGGGTATGCATATCCGTAAAATTTAAAGTAAAAAAAAATCGCATAACATTCGTAGTAGTTTTGAGTAGTCGTTTAGAAAATATTGTTGAATACTGTTTTAAAGAAGGTAAATATACAATTCTGATTCACCGCAGGGCATTTAGCTTTATTAATTTTGTTCACAAATTGATGTGCTCTAAGCATTTTTTTTTCACTTTTATGCTTACCTGATTATATCGACGAGCCTGTGAACGATTATTGGTTCAAAGTTTCTGTTATACGCCTTCAAGCAGCCATCCTCAACAGCGATACTCAACTGAAACGATAAAAACATACATAGAATGGCTTAAATCTGATAAAATTATCGCAATATTGGCGTCTCGACGCCATTCCATATTCTGCTTTGAATACAGTTTTTTATTACTTAATCATAAAATAGTCTCATAACTGATAACTATCAGGACACCACTTTACTTTACTTTATTATAATAGCTGTTTTCCCGCGACTTTACCTAAGTTAATTAAAGCCTATGTCTCCCGCATATGATAATATATAGTATATCATCATCAGCCCTTTTACGTCCCCACTGCAGGGGCTCAGGCCTTCCTTATGGATGGTTAAGGAGGATGGGCCACGACCCTCCACGCTGGCCCAATGCGGATTGGAGGGTATTAACGACTGCAAATGCAGCCGGGACCAACGGCTTAACGTGCCTTCCGAAGCACGGAGTAGCTCGAGATAATAATTTTTGGTCACCCATCCCGTGACCGACCCTTGCGAAAGTTGCTTAACGATTACGATCGCGGGCCGCGGCGCTTATCCACTACACCACCGAGCTACTCCACTACGCCACCGAGCTAGTAAGTATATATAATATATAGTATATATACTTACGTTATGGGTGATTAAACTGGATCCTTTTAAGTGGTCGTAGGGGAAGGTTAATTGTAATTATTTTCACCCCACATTGCATATCCGAAAGTATTTTTTTAAATGCACTTTTGTTTGCAAATTTACAACAACAAAAGACTTTTTTTTCATTTAAAATTCTGTAGTTTCCGTTAGGGTCAAGATTATTTGGGTTTTATTATTATTTATTATCACGAACTGGAATGTTATCTCTCCAAAACTGTCAAAAAAATTGGATTCTGATCATAATAAAAAAAAAGTTTAAAAAAAAATAAATAAATACAATTTATCACAAAAATGGCTCACTATGGGATACATAATGTGAGATGAAAATAATTGTAAATGACCTCCCCTAAGACCGCTTAAAAGGATCCGGTCCAATTACCCATAACCCTGTATATATATTGTTTCCTGAAGTTGAAAAAAAGTTAAAATCGGTTCAATAATCTCGGAGCCTATGCAAATAAGCAATCAAATCTTTCTTCTTTATAATGTTAGTATACTTATCAGACAGGGTGGGTATATATTCATCTGTGAAACATTTCGACATAGTAACTTAATAGCTTTTCATTTTATACCTTATCGGAAACACCAGTAGCCTTAATTTCCTTTAGCAACCAGGGTAACATGGTATTTGAGAATCTCATGTCCAAAGCTGTAAATCCAAGGTAAGTCACTGACGTTAATTTCGTTTTCATATTTTCACTGCAATAAAAAATAAGACAAATTTATTAAATTAAAAAAAAACATTAAATGGCACTATCGCTAAAGAGCAGTTTCTTCCAGGTAACCGCATTAAGGATTAAGCCGCGACATTTAATGCTACTTGTCAGATTGCCATTTAATTGGACGGGAACTCATGACAAATATATCTAAGAGCTTTCTAAAGCTTTCTAATTCTGAAAATGTTAACGTAATTATGGCATCTCAATGGCGTTTCAATGGCGTCAAATCTTTTTGACACAGTTATTGTTACTCGATTATAAAATTAATTCAATGTCATTGATAAATCAATAGTGAAATATATGTTTTATATATTTTATGAACAAAAATGCATTTAATTAAGACGCCATTGAAAATATCAGTATCACGATATCTAACATTAGTCGAATTGAGGCCGAGTTACAATGTATGCGGGGGAGGAATAAATTTAACACTGATATTTTTTTGTGTTAATAAAATTAAGGATTAAAAACTAGACTAACTAGTATTATTAATAAAAATATATATTATTAAAAATATATACTTTAAATTTATCAATTAAAAATTAATCACAATAAACAACGCAAAAAAAAAATCAAAATATTTAATACTGAAATAAACTTTAGTGACTTTATTAAAGTTTATAGAGTTTATTAAAGCGCCTTCGAATCATTCAATATTTTTCGATTTAAAAGGAATTTTATTTATTTATAAACATAATCGCATCGAGTGAAGAAAAGTAATATTTTCAACAGTTTATCGTATAAAAAGGAACACTTAACTAACAATAATTTATGTGTACTATGATCTAGCATAACATACCTTTGTTTGCTCAAATTTAGAACGTCAATGAAATAATTGAAAAATCAATAAAACTGCCAAAGTCACTTATTACAGTGAATTCTTCGGCACCGTATATTTTTACATTCAACAACATTTAAAGATAACAATACGATTCTTATTTAAAATAAATCACTCAAAGAAATAACTAGAAAATATCACCATTTCCCGCACAACCCAAAACACTAAGGCACTATTGGAAAACGAAAGGGAAAAGCGACCGTCTAAAATGCACCCCTCTCTGTCTTATTCATTGATTGAAATGAAAAGGGGCGAGTTACGTATGCGTACAAAACTCGGAAAATATGATAACTATATTATTTCAAAGTTATGTTGAAAATTGCTGAAACTCGCAATTAAAGTGCTGACATCTATTGAAAAAAAGAAGAACTATTGAGTATTGCTCAACTTTCTTGAGGGCATCTAAAATACATTATAAATTATTTACGTAAATATATTATGATTATTGGTTTATCTGTAACAAAAAAACAACAAGTATCAAAACTGCGTTGAGGAGCATGTTAAAATTTCTATAATAATAAGATAAATAAACCTTCTTGTTGCTAATATACTTCAGTATTGTTTCGGACGTATTCGTTAGATGTCACTGATAATGGAAAAACAACGTATTATATTTTCACTGCTCCGATTGAAAGTTGAAATAAAAATGTAAAAAATGTTTTTTTTTTCAAATAAGATATCGATTTATCCTACATAATATCATAATTGAGGTGAGTTTCTTTTATAAAATATAGTATTAACATAATTTGATGGTGGAGATTGAGTTAAATTTTGGCTTTGCCTAAAACACAGTTTCATATGGATTTTTCTTTGTTGTTTATATATATATAATAATGTTTTGTTATTACATGTATTATGTTTCCATTAAAATATCTTTAATCGCGTGTTTCAAGTACAACTTAAAAGGTTTCTTTCATTTCATTTACGTCATAATTATCGATTATATCATCTGTCAAAGCTGAATTAGGAACGCTATTAAAACTTTACTTTTTCAATAAAAACAACATTATTTCATCATATTATTACATAAACTAGCATTAATATTTAGTTATTTACACAATTATAAAGTGTTTTCATTGAGATACTCGAAGTTTTTTGTAAAAATGCTTACAAAATAATTATGTTTAGTTGCTTTTAGTTCCATAATTTGCCGCGCGACAACAACGCCGCTAACATAGGTAATTTGACCTTTCAGACCGCTGTAATTCGTGAAATAAGGGAGAATGGTTTACTTAACAATTATGCATTATTATTTTTTAAATAAAACATGATTTATATATTTTTGTAATTGAAGATGATGCCGTGTGTTTTGACTTATTAGAATAATTAAGCAAACATTAAGGTAAGTAACTTAATTTTAGAATTTATTTTATTTATTTCTTGAGGTAATAACGCCATGATTTGAAAGGAAGGTTTCATTAATTTGCATACTGTGTTTTTTTAATGCTAACAGCAAACATAAAGATTAAAAAATGGCATATAGCTACCTACCTAAATTAGTCGTTCTCATTATTATTTATTGGCTGTTTTATCCATGACTTGGGTATTTATTATCAAATCTTTCTAGCATAGTTTGATGAATTATAAACGACAACACAAGAATTTCTTGGGTCATAATCATAAGTTATTGAGGGACAAGCTTTGCGAATAAACTTAAAAATATGCAGTTTTTTTTATTGGCAAAATAGGATATTAAATATTGAACTTACTTATGTTCTAGTAATAATTTAGATTAGCTCATTATTAAGCAAACAAATGAGTCAATACCAACATCTACTACAACTGAATTTTACAAAGAAATATTTTTCTAAAATAGTACCGTCAACAGCACATCAGATTCACTCAAACTTCTCCATTTGATGTTTAACCTTAATATATAGAGGGTACAGTTGAAACTCAATCGTGTTTTGACATATTATGGATGTCAAACGTACAGCCGTAGTACTTAAAAATGTATCGTAAAATAGTGAATTTATAAAATTTTCTCTAAAATCACAAAATACCCCTTAAATGTGCAATTTTTTTTTCTTAGGATGGAATCGCATCAAATGGGGTGTATGCGCAATGATCTTAACGACTGCATATACAACCGGGACCAACGGCTTAAAGTTCTTACCGAAGCATGAAGAAGTTCGAAATAGTTTATAGTTTTGGTCATCCATCCTATGACATTCCCTTGCGAAAGTTGCTTTACAACCATATTGCAGACCCAGCATGTTAACTTCCTCAAAATGTTTTTATAACATTATAATTTTGTTTGTAGGCCAAGAATGGAGAGAACAGCTGAGCTATCTTCTTCAACCATCTCTTTCATAGAATCGAGCACAGACGACAGTTCAGATAGGAAGTCTTCTAGAAGATCGCTCGTCAAGAAGAATGGTTTATTAAGAGTTAGCAGTGCACATAGTTGTGACTGTGACTCTGCTATCGATTGTCAAAGGTAAATAGCATTTTTATTATTGAATGAGACAACTATAATTACAAAGTAATTAAAAATTATTTGGTTAGAAATTTTTATTCAAAAATCTTTAAGTCTAGGCTGTCACAAGCACATTGTAAAAAACGAAACCATGCTATCGGTTCGTAAATCCACGGCGGGAGACCTTGTACCGAGAACCGGCAAGTAACTGGACAAGGGCTGCTTTTTTCTCCCCGTTTTACTTCAATTTAAAGAGAGGTTAGAAAATATAAAAAATACATTCGATTCACATGTCCAGTCAAACAAGCTTATCGATAAATATTTTATTTGATAAACTGGGCAGACTCATACCGCTAGCAGCGCCTGTTCAGGAGAATCTTGTTTTTTTTATATAAATAAAATTTTGAAAGTATATCAATATATTTTGATGAAAATTTAAATACAAAATTTTAATAATTTAGATGTCTAAAAGTAGTTCCGCCATTTTGTATTATTTACTTTAAATTATTAGCGAATATGACATTCACCATTTCTAAATAATATCACATTTTTAATACACGAACAGTAAGCTATACCATGAGAATGTTATATCCTCACAATGACATGATTTAATATAGTTTATAACCAAAAACATGAGTAATTAGATACATTATATTTGCGTGCAAATAATATCAAAATTCACTAATTGTCGGTAGTCACAAAACTTTGTACAGTTGCGTAGAAAGGTCGAAATGGTTTTTTGTTATATTTATTTTGAAAACTCGTTTAGTATGACGTGTGTTACAGGAAAATCTATACACATATACTCCGAAACTGCTGAACTAATCTTCATAAAATTTTTGATATTACCCTTATGTACCATTAAAAAAGGAACATTAAGCATTAGTACATCAATTAATTAAATATTTAAAAGCATAATATGCGACTTTTTTTTAACTTACTTGTCTTATTTCTTAGTTTTTTTAAATATATTTAAGAACGAAATTACTGAACAAATTTCGTTAAAATTTCTATGCAAACAAAGTATGCATTAAACAATGTATGCAACAAACAATTTTTGTTTGTTTGTTCGTTAGGTAGATTGTTAAAAAATATTAAACACGTTTTTTTTTCGTAATCATTTAATTATGGAGATACGTCAAGTTAAAATGTCACGCTTTTGTACATTTCCTACAAAACTGTGACGTAGCGAGCCCCCACTCCTCATCTTTAATGCCTATTATCCAAGCTATATCTTGTTAAATTTAAGTAAAAAAAGATGTACCTAATATTTTTCTATTATCTGACTGACATACTAAATATAATTTCTTTTTTTTTTACCCAGTCGTCATCCCTATTATCGCCGAATATACACAACAATAAAATTTAATATTCAATACAGACGAAATGACAAACTTCTCTTTTTTAAGTGTGTTATTAATAGGAACATTCTTGTGAAACAAAAATAATATAGATATTCCAATTGTGTCTTGCTATTTTAGTTGGTCCATTTACTATGATTAGGCTAAACCTACGGGATTTTTATCTATAACAGATTTTCATAGAGATTGCAAACCTGTGTTTCACCCCCTTAGGGTGAAATTGTTTAAAAATCCTTTCTTGTTTAAATAATAACTTCTATGTTATAATCATTATCCCATTATCAAACTCGCAGCACCAGAAACATCAAAAAAATTGCTAACTCATTTTTTTTTAAAACATTGATATTGATTTGCT